TGAGCTAAAATGAACCCTTGCTGCCTCAAGCTGGGTTTTTTTCCAGGTTATTTTCTGGCAACAGAAATGAAACTAAAACAACATCCCCTGACTCCTCAACTCCATCTGCTCCCATCCCCCACTGCCCCTCTGTCTCTCCTCTTCTTTTCCCTCCCATCTGTTCACTATGACTCCACACTCAAAGAGGCCTGATAGAGGACCCGTATTTGGAGGCCTACAGAGCCCTCAGTCTGGGTGCTGGGGTGGCTCTGGGAACTTGTTAGTGTTTGGGGAACCTGGGCTCTGTCAGATGGTGTGAGTCTGGGCCTCAGAGAGGAACCGGTCAATGGTTAAGAGGCAGTGTGTATGTGTGTGTTTGGTAATCCACGCTGTTTAAAATCTACCTTTTGAGTATGTGCAATTCAGCAACTTCTAGTGTAATGGAGCTATGTAACCATTACCATCAACCAGTTCTAGAACATTCTATCATAACCTCCAACAAAGAATGAGCACTGTTAACGGTATTTTTTCCTTCCTCACTCCTGGCAACCGGTGAATCTCTCTGTTGCTAGGGACCTGCCTGTTGTGGACACTTTGTTGAAGGAAATCATAATGCATACCAGACTTCTGGTTGCTGCTACTTTTTATAATTTTATTTTCTGTGTATGGGTGTTTTGCCTGCACACATGTCAGTGTACCACATGTGTGCCTGGTGCTCATGGAGGCCAGCAGAGGGGACTGTAGTTACAAATGGCTGCCAATCACTGTGTGAGTGCTGGAATCAAACCCAGGTCCTCTGGAAGAGTGTAACTGCTGAGCCATCTCTCCAGTCCTGTGTGTGGGTTCCCCCCCCCCCCACTCAACAAACATCTCAGGTTTTAGGCTTTTTTGTTTGTTGTTTGTTTTTGTGTATATATGGGTTTGTATGAGTGCAGGTGTTGTAATTTAAAAAAAAAGTAGCACACAGGAGAAAGAGTGGAAGGGTTTTTATTGGGGGAAAGTGAATGGGAAAAGGGGGGAAGGGAGAGGGGACACTGGCCTCTGGGGACAGAAGTGGCAGAAGAGAAGAGAGAGGCAGAGAGAGACAGAGAAGCAGAGAGAGAGAAATAGAGGATGGTGAGAGATAGGCAGGGCCCTTTTAAAAGGGAATGTAGTGAATGTGTACAGGTGGTGCTCTTAGTGGCTGCAGCTGAGAGCATACCCTGTTAGAATCCCAAGGGCAGGCCAGTACAGATGCCTGAATACTAACAGCAGATGCATGGAAACATGTGCACGAATGTAGAGCCCAAAGAGCAACCTCAAATGCTGTCCACCTTGTTTGCTTTGGAGAGGGTCCTGGAGCTTGCCTCAAGTTGTATAGGATGCCAATCCAGTGTGAAACAGGGATCTACCTACCTCTGCCTCCCAGAACAGTAATTTCCAGTTTGTGCTACCATACTTGACTTTTGTTGTTGTTATTTTGAGACAGTGTCTTACTATGTAGGCTTGGCTGTACTGGAACTCACTATGTAGATTAGGCTGGCTTTGAACTCACAGAGGTCTGCCTACCTCTGCTTCCCAAGTGCTTGGGTTAAAGGTATACACCACTACACTGACTTCCTAGTACTCATGATTGTATGGCAAACACTTTATCACTGGAGCCATCATGGAGATTTTTTGTTTTATTTTTAAAATTAATTTGCATTTTTCATGGATATTTTGCCTTCATGTATGACTGCACCACTTACATGCCTGGTTCCCACAGAGGTCAGAAGAGGGCCTCAGGTTCCCTGGAACTGGACTTATAGACAGTTGTGAGTCAAGTGAGTGCTAGGAATCAAACCAGGGTCATCTACAAAAACAAGTGCTCTTAACCTCTGAGCCATCTCTCCAGCTGCTGATTTTAGTATTTGTTTGATTTTTTTCATGTGTATTCATGTTTTGCTTCCATATATGTCTGTGTAGAGGTGTCAGAGCCTCTGAAACTGGAGTTACAGGTGCTGGGATTTGAACCCAGGTCCTCTAGAAGAGCAGTCAGTGCTCTTAACTGCTGAGCCATCTCTCCAGCCCCTGTTTATTTTTTGCAGGATCTCATGATATATCCCTTGACTGACTTGAAACTTTCTTTGAAGATGAGGCTGGCCTTGAACTCACAGAGATCTGCTTGCCTCTGCCTTTCCCAGTGCTGGGATTGCCAAATATGTGGGCCACAATGCCAGGCTTGTTTTGCTTTTTTTGATACAGGATCTTACTATATAACCCAGCCTGGTCTGGGACTTGCTATGTAGCCCATAATGGCTTTCAGCTCACAGTCCTTCTCCCTCAGTCCCCAGTGTGCTGGGATTGCAGGCATGTGCCCAACCAGCATCATGTTTGGGGTTTTCTCTGTGCCCTGTGTGTAGCAGCTGCTTTGGGCTGAGCATTACCTTTCAAATGGGTTAGCCACCCTTTTCCCCTCTGTGTATCTGCTGCCAGAAGTTGGTCACACCTGTGTTTTGGGTGTTACGAAACTCACTGCCATAAAGAGACAAATTGAGGCTTCTTGGCACCATCACTGTGTAGTGCATAGAGTGCACACAGTCTCCTCTATGCCCCACCAGCAGACCAGCGGTCATTCAGTAGCACTGTCCCCAACTTATAGAGGAAAAGACACCAGATCCATCTGCTCCCCTACCAGCCCTCCTGTCCGTCTCCTAGCATCATTCTCCACATTACTTTCTTTGCCTTTGCTCTTTTAGAGACTGCAAACCAGGAAATGAAGCGCAGCCAACTTGGGAACACAAATATTTGCCAGTCAAGAAAACACTTCCCTGTCAATCAAAACGCAGACAAGCTGGCGCACATACTCTGTAGGAGCGGGAGGCAGCTTCTGTTCTGGCATGGTCCAGGTGGCTGATGGCTTCTCCTCCTCTGAATGCACCCAAGCTTCTTCCATCCTCAAAAGAAAATGAGGAAACAGGCTCAGAGTAGTCACTCAGCATCCAGTGATGTTTATTTCTTTTGAGAAATATGAGTGTGAATTCTTAACCCCATGAAGGGGACAGAGGGGTTGCAAGTGACAACTTCCAACACAGATAAACAACAGACAGGCTTGTAGGCCGTGGGGGTGGGTACATGAATTTGTTACAGCTTTTCAGGGTCCCTACAGGGAGCAGGATACAGCCCAGTTGGGGGCCATAGCTGAGATGGAGCAAATTTTCTGCCTGGCTACAGAAACCCAGACTGCACATCCTTTATGCTGTGTATGTGAGTGTTTTAATTTTCTATTGCTGTGATAAGAGGACATGAATGGCCGGGTGGTGGTGGCACATGCTTTTAATTCCAGTACTTGGGAAGTAGAGGCAGAGGCAGCCAATCTCTGTGAGTTTGAGGCCAGTCTGGTCTACAAAGTGAGTTTCAGGACAGCCAGGGCTGTTACACACAATAAAACCTGTCTCAAAAAATAAACAAACAGACAGACACCATGAACAACTCAAATTCTAAAAACAAGTATTTAATTTGAGGCTCACAGTTCCTAAGGGTTAGAGTCTGTGAGCAGCATGGCAGGGAGCATGGCAGCAGGCAGGCATGGTACTAGAGCAGTAACTGAGAGCTCACATCCTTATCCATAAGCACAAGGCAGAGAAGGGACACTAGGAAGGGTGTGGACTTTAGAAATCTCAAAGTCTGCCCCCAGTGACACACCTCCTCCAAAAAGGCCGTACCTCCTAATCCTTCCCACACAGTTCCACTAATGGGGACCAAGTATTGAAGTCTGTGAGCCTATGGGAGCCATTCTCATTCAAACCACTGCAGTGAGACCTTGTAAGTGGGAGGTCACTGCTCTACCACAGAGGTGCTCTACCACAGAGGTACACCCCCACCCTTCAGCGTCTTTATTTTTGAGATAGTAAATGCTGCATGGTTCATGCTGGCCCCAACAGGAGACACTTCTGTTTCCACTTCTAACTGCTGAGATGGATTACACATCTCCTCTGGGCCTAATGGTGAGGGTTTCAAACTTGGATCCAGCCCTCTCGCCCTTACCCGTTGTAAACTAACCTTTTCCTGTGAGCTACCCTAGTCTGTTGCCACCAGGCTTAGAGAGTTTATTACAGTTCTCACCACATTCCTGCCTCAAAATTCTCCTGCTGGGTCATATTGACATGGAGACTTTCAGGGATTTGAGCGTTGTTGGTTCATCAAAGCCCTGTTCAGAAGGCTTGAGGGCATCAGGTTCTGGGGTATAGCTCAGTGGAAGAGGGTGTGCTTAGCACTTTTGAGGCCTGGAATTCAATTTTCACAATTACAATTATAAAACGTTTGCAAACTTATCCCTGTGAGATCTTACCTGACATTTGGTTTGCTAAAGATCTGATTCTGTGATCTGTCCCAAAGGATCTGAATGGAACAGACAGGAAAGTCGCATTTTCATTACTTTTTAACCTATGTTCAGAAAGGACAAAGACTGTAAAATTAAAGGGAAGACCCTTTCCTCATGATGGTGTCTGTGTGGGCTGGTTAGTCGTGTCCCAGCACCCGGAGCTGAGTTTGGGATGAATGTGTTTATTCCTGGGTCTGCGGTTAGCGCTGGTGAAGACAAGGCTCCAAACCTCTACCCTTTTAGAATGGAGGCAGGCAAGCGTATTGAGCTTGCCTCCAGCTGGCCGCAAAGGAGCGGAACGCCACAAGTGCACCGCCTGCTGCTGGTGGGTAGGGGAAGGGCAGGCGCAGGATAGGCGAGGCTGAAGGGGCGGGGCCTGTGGGAAGGGGCGGGGCCTGAGCGTGACAGGCGGGCAAGAGGAGGAGTCGTGTGCGGTCTGAGGGAGAAGGGGACGGGTCTGGAGGCGGGGCCTGGCGCAGAGTAACGACGCACAGGGGCGGGGCCATCAGGGGAGCAGCTGTAACTCACTAGAGCGCTGAACCGGAGTTCAGAGCATGGAGCCCTCGGAATTGAAAGGGTATGGGTAAACCATAGAAGGGCGAGGCCATATTACAATTGTGGGCAGGGCCTTAGTGCTTCGCTCTGACCGACCAATCCGCGGGCTCGTACCAGCTGCGGATTCCTCCCGAGGCCCCGAAGATTGCCACATCTTTATAGGCCGTCGCAGGCCGTCTTCCGGTCGGGGGGCGGGCCTCGCGCGGTGGCGGGAAAGCGGCGGACCAGGCAGGACCTGTGGGACGCCGACGGGTGGGAAGGGACCTGTCGCGTGAACTGTTCATCATGGACGCAGCCGAGGTGGAGTTTCTGGCCGAGAAGGAGCTGGTGACCATTATCCCGAACTTCAGTCTAGACAAGATCTACCTAATCGGGGTGAGGCGGGCGGAACGGGGCTGCGGCCGCGGGGTCATGGACGGTCAGCGCTCCTTTCCACCTGGGGTCTGCGTTGTCCTTGCAGGGGGACCTAGGGCCCTTCAACCCCGGCTTACCCGTGGAAGTGCCCCTGTGGCTGGCCATTAACCTGAAACAGAGACAGAAGTGCCGTCTGCTACCTCCAGATTGGATGGATGTGGGTGAGCATTCCTGGGCCGGGTAGGGCGGGCTTGCACCTGGATCTGATTCCTTCCATGGTCCCGGGTTTCCTGACAGCCGACATCAGAAGCTGTTTCAGTGGCTTGTTGGATTGTACTGTTTGTAATACTGCTAGTTCATATTTGAATTTTAGATAGGTAACTAGCCGTGAGATGGCTCAATAAGTAAGGACACTTGCAGCAAACCCTGAGAACCCGAGTTCAAACCCCAAAATCCACCTTGAGAGGTGATAACCGAGTCCCAGTGTTGTCCTCTGACTTTCCTATGCACTCGACCTATGCACACGATAATAATAAATTTTAAATAAAAAAGGAGTAGAGATTCAACTTTAAACATTTTTTTCCTTAGTGTTTATTTTTTTCGAGACAGTACCACTGTGTATCATGCCGTCCTAGAACTCACTCTGTAAACCAGGCTGGCCTTGAATTCACAGAGATCCAACAAGTTTTGTTTTAGTTGAGTATCAGCGTGCTGGAAAATTCTGTTACAAAGACTGTGAAAATAGTGTGTCACTGCAGTTAGTTTTGTCAAATTGACACAAACTCAAGTCACCTGGGAAGATGGACCCTCAACTGAGAAATACCTCCATCCCATAGGCTTGTGAGCATGTCTGGAATATTTCCTTGGCTAAGGACTGATAGGGCAGGGCCTAACTCACAATGGGGGTTGTTAACCTTGCACAGGTGGTGATAAGTTGTATAAGAAGACAAGGCAGTAAGCAGTCTTACGGTTTTTGTCTCTGTTTCTGCTCTCACTTCCCATCAATGAATGACTGATCGGGTCAAATAAACCCTTTCCTCCCCAAATTGTGTAATGATGTTTATCATAGCAACAGAAAAGCAAATTAGGACAGTCACCCTATAATGGGATATTATTCAGAGACAAAACCCACAGAGGAAGGCTGTTACAAAGACTGAAAATAGTGTGTGAGTCACTGTAATTAGTTTTGTTAAACTGACACAAACTCGAGTCACCTGGGAAGATGGACCCTCCATCCCACAGGCTTGTGAGCATGTCTGTGGAATATTTCCTTGTCTAAGGACTGTAGGATTCTGTTTACCTGAACACTCAGAAATAGGCAGAACCATAGGCACAGAATAGTGACTGCTTAGGTAATGGGGGCTTAGGAAGTGATGAAAGGATTATTTTTTTGGGGGGGGAATGATAATCTGAAATTGAATTGATAGTTGTACAACTCTTTATTAAAAGCCCTTTGTACAGTTTGTGTCAGAAGTGTGTGGTAGATTAAAGATAGCTCTGAAGATGTTAGCAAAAAAATGAAAGAAGGAAATCATGAGTCTGCAGTTTTTCTCTGATTTTTTTTGGGGGGGGTGAGTGGGAGAGAGTTATGTGCATCATGTAGCATTTGGAAATCCCCTAGTGAGCTTGACTGGAGTCACCTGAGAAGACCTAGAAGAAAAGGCTTAGTCATAGTTTTGTTAACTTGACGACACACTTGGAAACGAGCACCTTAAATTGAGAAATCACCTCCATTAGATTGGCCTGTGGGCATGTCTGTTGGGCAATTTCTTGATGTATGTAGGAGGGTCCAGCCCATTATGGGCCATGCCACCCCTATACAGGTACTCCTAGGTTGTGTGAGCAAGCAAGCTGAGCAAGCCAATGAACAGTCTTCCCTTGTGGTACCTGTTTGAGTTCTTACCCTTCTCATTCCCAGTTTGTTTCTGGTTATGGTGTTCATCATGGCAAAGGAAAGCAAACTAGGGTAGGCTGTTTAAGCCAGTCACTGTCAGGCTAGTTAGAGAGATGTGCTTGAACTTGGACCTCTTGTCCCCTGTGTAAAGGAGTGAATGACTCTGATTGTCCTGAAACTGGGACCCCAGTTCCTCTGCCTCAAAGGGCATCCCCCTTGAGGTCTGAGTCCATTAAAGACCCATTACTAGTTTCAGCTGGCCCAGGACAAAGGTTAGAGGGGTATGTAAAGTTCTGTGGTTCAGATGGTGCTGGTGCTGGTAGTTTGTGCAGGAGACTTGTCTGCTGTGGGACTTCCATGTCCATACCATGATGTCATGTGCCATGCTTCTCTGGTGGATGTGTGGTTTGCAATTGGCCCTGTGGTCACATGGGTCATCACCCTGTTCTGCCTAGGTGCTCTCTTGTGTGACTGCTCTGCATCTGCGCACCCATTCTGCATGTGGGTATTCGGGTTACTTCCCATTTATTATTGTTTTTTATTTTATATGTATGGGTCATGTGCAACACATACATACAGTACCTTTAAAGGCCTAAAGACTATATTTTGAGCTGTATGAGTGCTGAGATCGAAACCCAGGTCCTCTAAGACAACAAGTACTCTTAATCACTGAACCATCTTTCCAGTCCCCTATTTTCCAGTTTTAAAAATCATTATTGTGATTTTTGTATCTGCACATGTGCCATGGTACATGTAAACAGAGGACAACTTGTTGAGTCAGTTTTGCCTTTCCACTGTGTCCACCTTCATCAGGCTTGCAGACAAGCACCTTTATCTACTGAGCCATCTTGCCAGTCCCCAGATTATTCCCACTGTTTACTGTTTTGAATGAGACTATTGGAATTTTCTTGTCCCAGTTTTTCCATAGGTAGGTGTTTCTCTTTGATTTGTTGAGTCAGGGTCTCATGTAGCCCGGGCTGCTCCATACTTGCTGTGTAGTGGAGAATGGCCTTGAGATGTGAATCCTGCCTCCACCTCCCATGTTGCTGGGTTACAGGTGTCTTCTATGCCCCTTGACTTTTTTTTTTTTTTTCCAGTTAGGCAGATTGATACCACCTGTTGGGGACTTTAGGCCACAGGACAGATGATGCTTAACTTATAAGAAGCTGCCAGCCAGTCCTGCTGAATGTTGAAACATTAGGACCACAGAGAAATGTAGATGAGATCACATTGTCCCACATCTTGGCCAGAGGGTTGGCATTGCCAGTCTTTCTGATTGGTGGAAATATTGAACAGATGTGTTTTGTTATCTGATTCAAGGGTAGAAAGTAAAATAATCCCACGCAGTGGGTCCAGTTCAGTGGTAGACTCTGCCTGCCTGGCATGCATGAGGAGTGCAGGAAAAATTGAATCACTGCTTTCATGGAGGTGAGGTTGAGCAGCTTGTAGCAGGCCTGGGTGCTTTTAAGGGAGCAGTATGAGGTCTGTGTGGAGGAGGGAAGAGAAGAGCTGGTGGTAAGGCATACCCAGCTGTGGCTGGAGGTTTAGTTCTTCTTTGATGGAGTCATTGTTTGCTGAGATTGGCAGAGCACATGGCAGTGAAGGGGCCCAGGGTGTAGTCCGAGCCCATTTTCTTGGGGATACTAGATGGCTGTGCAGGTAGAAGTAATCTGAACAGTGGGACATACAAACAGGGTTAGGGAAGACCTCCAGATGTGCCAGGCTTCCACTTGGGCAGGCTGAGATGTCTGGAGTGTGAGCCTAGGGTGTGGAGAGGAGTCACCCACTGAGCTCTGGACCACAGAACTGAGAGGTCACAGGGAATTGACAGGCACAAGTAAAGGGCAAATTAAGTCAGAAGAAGGTTCAGGGGTAGTGGTGATATCAGACTCGGTGTCCTTCCTGAGAGGTGCTTGCAAGTCATTTAGTCTAAGATACAAATTCCCCACATTGCTTTTATGCAGCGCACATGGCTGCATAACAAAACAAGCTCCTGGTTAAATTGTAAGATTAGAAAACATTTTCTCTGGTGGCAGTGGTGGTGGTGCCTAGCACTGGGGAGGCAGAGAGGCAGGTGGATCTCTGTGAGTTCAAGGCCAGCCTGGTCTACAGAGCTAGTTCCAGGACAACTAGGGCTATTACACAGAGAAACCTTGTTTTGGAAACAAACCATCTTCTTGGGGCTGTAGAGATGGCTCAGTGGTTAAGAGTACTGACTGCTTTTCCAGAGGTCCTGAGTTCAATTCTCAGAAACATCTCACAGCCATCTATAATGGAATCTGATGCCCTGTTCTGGCATTCAGACATACATACAGACAGAGCACTCATGTACATAATAAGAACTTCAAAAAAAAAAAAAAAAAATTCTCAGCCAGGGGGTAGTGGTGCACGACTTTAATCCCAGCACTCGGGAGGCAGAGGCAGGCTGATTTGTGAATTCAAGAACAGCCTGGTCTACAGAAGAACAAGTGCCAGGACAGCCAGGGCTCCACAGAGAATCCCTGTCTTGAAAATCAAAATGCATTTTCTTTTTGTTGTGGTGATGGTGAAACACACTAACTTCTTTGTTTCAGAGAAGTTGGAACAGATGCGAGATCAGGAGCGGAAGGAGGAGACATTCACCGCAGTACCCAGCCCGCATTACATGGAGATCACCAAGCTCTTGCTGAATCAGTGAGTCAGCACATGAGGCAGACAGTGCATGCCCTGGTGGATTCGAATTCTCCCCATTCCCTTCCCATTGTGGCCCAACCACCAGTTTGACATATAGGTGACTTGGAGGAGGTGTTTCCAGGCAGGGTGACTAGACTATCTCTCTGTTCTCTTCTGTACCTTCTCTTCCCACATTGGATTTTGTACATTTCAGGCCTGTCACTTGTCACTTGGTTGCAATGTAGCCACTGTCATTTTAGCAACAGTCTTTTCTGTTAAGTGCACATGCTTTGTTTAGTCCAACTTTGCCTGAAAGTGTGTGGATCTGGATTCCCTGAGTCTATCACAGGAGTGGCCAAGGGCCACTTGAGCCATAGATACATACCCTGGAAATCTCTGCCCTAGCTGTCTTCTGGTTCATTCTTCATGTGTGGCTAGGCTGTTTGGCGCTGCCCTGTCAGTCTCAAGTCAGGTGCTCACAGCATTGACAATTGCAGGTGTCACCGCCCCCCTTTCACGGCTCTCCTTTGCTCTGTGTCTGTAGGTTTATGTTCCCAGAGGCTTTATTGCAGAACAGGCTTGTTTGTTTGTTCTGTGTGTGTGTGTGTGTCTGCTATGTGTGTCTTGCTAGATTGCTTACACTGGTCCTGAACTCTGGACTTTAGTAGTCCTCCTGGCTTAGTACCATGTCTGCAGAGCTCTGTTCTGGCATTTGTTACAGTGCAGTTTTGTAATCTTTGTCTGGCCTTGCCGTTATGCAGACTGTTCTTGATGGCAGGGACTGTCCCCACACAGGCCTCACAAAGGTTTATTGAATGAAAGCAGTAGATGCTCAAACCTGACTTAATGGGCATCCAGCTGGACTTTACCTTTCAGGTGGTTCAAGAGAAGATCTGTCAGCTGGACAGTAGGGATCTGTGTCACTGTTTTATCCAAAGCTGAACTCCAGGGATGGGAGGCTAGATGTCATTCTTCCTTCCTACAACAATATACTTATTGTTCTAAACATGGCCACATGGGTCTGAGTTCCCATTTGGATAGGGAAACAACGTGACCCTGTGAACTAGTCATGAAACTGCTGCACAATCAGTGCCTTTGGGAGTCCTTGGGGCTTAGTAAGGCCTAGAGGCCAGAGAAGGTATTTAAGGAACTCAGGCTTGATCAGAGCAGCAGACTCCCCAGGAGCAGGGAGAGGGCAGCAGTGTAAGAAGAGCTGTAAGGTACTGTGGTGCTATGTGCTTGAGGGTATGGGGACTGATGGAGATACACAATGGGTCACAGAGGTATAGATTCTGTTGTGGGGAGACCTGGGAAGGTGGTGTCTTCGGGGGTCTGAGAGAGACAGATGAATCTCTGAATTCCATTTTGGTCTACTTTAGGGAGTTCCAGGCCACACAGAGCTAGCTATACAGTAAGTCCATGTCTTTTCAAGCAACAACAAAATACAAAACCTTACTATATAATTTATTTGGCCAAGGAATCCAATTAAAATTTTTTTAGCTGGGTGGTAATAGTGCACACTTTTAATCCCAGCATTCAGAGGCACAGGCAGGTGGATTTTTGACTTCAGGGTCGGTCAGCCTGGTCTACAGAGTGGGTTCCAGGACGGCTAAGCCTATTCAGAGAAACCCACTGTCTATACTGTAGACCTGCCTATCATTCCGAGCTGACTGGCCTGGGGAGAGTACCTAGTTATGGGCTACATGAGCCTGTCTAAAATAAAAGTGAAATAAATGTAAAAAAAAAAAAAATTACTTTGTGGGTGCATGCATATGGCATGACATGCATATGGAAGTCAGGGAGCAACTTTTAGGAATTGGTTTTCTCCTTCTACCATGTGGGTTCCAGAGATTGGATTCGGGTTGTTGTTTAGCCATAGACACCTTTACCTGCTGGTCTGGGAACCCAGTTTTACTTTGTTCTGTAGCTCATTTGATAAGGATCTGGAGTTCTTTGTCCTATCCTGTTTAGAGCTTAAGATCTGAATGCTTGTGTTCATCATTCAGTTCACTGCATACATTCTATAGTGCAGACCTGCCCACTATTCCTGAGCTGACTGGCACAGGGAGAGCACCTAGTGTTGGGCTATGTAAGTCTTGTCTGCCCCTGTCTTGTGTGTACTTCTTTCCTCAAAGGTTGGCTTCAAGTATGCCATAAAGGAAAGTTGTCACTAACTGCTGACCTTAAACTCTCTGTAGACACCAGGCTGCTTTTGAGACTTTGCTCTGCTGTGCGATTTTTGTAACCTGTGCTCCCCACAGTGGCAGTTCTGTCTCTGCCTTTTATGAGACTAGAAATGCACTTAAAGGCTGAGCACAAAGCTTACCCTCTTCTTCCCTGGTAGTGCTGGGGTAGCGAGCCTACGTCACTGGTAAAAAACAGGATCTGCTGACCGGAGCCAGCCTTGAGATAGTTACACAGCACAGAATATTGTTACCCTGAAGGGAGTGTCCCACAGGCCCCAATTTTCCACTACTCTTAAAAGACACATTTTTGTTTTAATTACATGTATATGTCTGTGTGTGCAGTGCCCAAGGAGACAAGAAAAGATTATTGGATCTTCTGGAGCTAGAATTACAGGGGATTGTAGGCCACCCCATATGGGTTTCTGGGAATTGACTGGGTCCTTTGGAAGAGCAGTAGCCCCTCCAAAAGTGTTATTGAAGATTTATTTTTATTGTGTGTGTGTTGGTATGTGCATGTGAGTGCAGGTAGGTGCCCTCAGAGGCCAGAGGGATTAGAGGTCGTTTTGACCCACCTGGCATGGGTGCTAGGAACCAAATTGTGTACTCAGCAAGAGCTGTGTGTGCATCTCTAGCCTGTGTTGTTGATATGGAGTCTCACACTATACTCCATATCCAGGCATTCTCCTGTCTCAGCCTCCCAAATGCTGGGAGTATAGTCACCACTCCTGGCTTTCAGTATTTCTCTGTCAGATCTGTCATTCTGTGTAGCCACTGGCCATGGACAGTGAACGTGTATAAAAACAGAGTGCCAAGCTTACTTCCAACATCCCAACACTCTCCCAAGCACGTACAAGGCTTCTCTTTTCTTCCCTCCTTGAAACAGGGTCTCTAGCCATGTATCCAGCCTTAAGCTTCTGGTTCTCCTGCCTCAACCTTCTAAGTGCTAGGATTACAGCCATGTGCTACCACCTATGTCTCAAGATGTGTTCTTATATTTGTTGTGTGGGTATGTCTGTGTTTAATGCAGGTGTTTATAAGCAGTTGTGAGCTGTGTGATGGATGCCAGCAATGGAACTGGAATCCCCAGGAGCAGCAAGCACTAACTGCTGAGCTGTTTGGCCTGTCCCCAAGCTATGGTTCTGAAGCAGCTGCTTCAGCCTATGTCGGGTAAGCTTACCAAGTGCCTCTCTCTTTTGCCTCTATGTATCTTCAGTGCTTCTGACAACATTCCCAAGGCAGACACCATCCGGACACTGATCAAAGATCTGTGGGACACACGCATGGCCAAGCTCCGCGTGTCTGCTGACAGCTTTGTGCGGCAGCAGGAGGCACATGCCAAGGTAGGCATGGCTCTCCTGTCCCCACCTGGTGCCAGTGGGAATGCTTCCAGGGAGTTGTCAGGGCATTCTGCCTGTTCAGCCATGTAATAATCAGGGATTTGAAGTTGTGCATTGAATAGGCTTATGGGGGCTTGGGGTGTGGCTCTCGATAGAGAGCTTGCCTGGTGTGCACAGGGTCCTGGGCTTCATCCTTGGCATCCAGGAACACACAACTCATTGGTTCCTAAGTTGCTGTTCAGTTGAGTTAGCTTTCCTAAGGTCAAAACTTACTCGGCTCACTTGCTTTTTGTTTCAGCTCGATAACTTGACCTTGATGGAGATCAACACCAGCGGGGCCTTTCTCACTCAGGCACTTAATCACATGTACAAACTCCGCACAAACCTCCAGCCTTCTGAGAGCACACAGTCTCAGGACTTGTAGCCAGAGGCCTATGGTGTGCAAGCCCTTGCTGCCTGCTGGTGTCCGAGCTCTAGACCTGACAGGCACTCAGCTCTGGAACCATGTGATGGCGGAGAGATAGGTGTGCAACACAGATGGAAGCGGTTTGCTACTCCTTCCTGTCAGCCCAGCCACAGAGTTCAACTTCCATCGGATGTAGAAACACCAGCTTTTCTCTAATGAGCATGGAGTCCTCTGCATACCACGCACAGCGAGTGTTCAGGCCAGTTTAGTTCAGCATCTTTGTCTTAAACTTTGACCTGTGAAAGCTATATGTAGTTGAGAACTGGGGGATGGGGGTGGGAGGTAGTGCTAATATAAAGATTTTCCTCTTAACATGATTTAGGAAGATTTTATTTTTGGGATGTCAGAAATTACAGCAATATATTCATAAATACCTAATTACTACATTCAACAAATAATATTACAATACAGTTAATTCAAACAAGTACACTTAGAACGGGTTTAATTTCACAGCATCTAAACTGCCCCCAGAGTGACCGAGGCACCCGTCCTCCCTCCTGCCTGGGTCCGCTGCCCTAGCAGTGAGGTGTAGAGCACACACACAAGTACAAAACCAGTGAGATGCCTCCTTGGGTCAAGGCAGCCAGCCTCTAGGGTTGAAGTTAAGCACTGGATCGGACAGTGGGGATAGGCTACGGCAAGTAGTGAAGTCAAAGCTTGAGTACTTGAAAGAGCACAGACTGCTGCTAAGTGGCTAACGCACACCTCAGAGGTGCTGAGCCTGCTGTGCGGGCCATCTCCATGCTGGGTCCTGGACATCTGAGGGCAGGGGTGGGAGGCATCTAGTTTGCAGTTCAGTTTAACTGAGATTTGGCAGTGCTGTGAGCAAGGTTACAAGTCCCCACTGTTAGGGCAGCTCTCCCTGTGAACTGGGTATCATAGCAGTACAATCTGGTGTGGTGGTACTAGTTGTGTCTTTAAGGTACCATGTTCTGAAGTGTTGACAGTCCTTTCTTAGTCACTCACCTGAGATGATGGCAGGTCTTACCAGTTTGGCTCTAGTGATATGAACCTTTTAAAGACCTAATCAAACATGGAGCCATGAGATCTAAACACTGAACTATCCATCACAAGCTTGGTGAATTTCCAGCCAGGACAGATGACAACTATCCCTCAGAGGTGAAGTGGGAAGACACAGTCAAGAATTGGAATTTGCATGTACATACTGGTTTTACAGTCCATCCTTGAGCAGATCTGTAGCGGGAAAGGTTGGAAGACCTGTGGGGACTATGTGGTACCTGGAAGGGCGTGCTGTGTGTGTTCAGCTTCATCAGTGTCTCAGACTGGGGATAGGAGAACCACGTGTGGTATGAGTGGCACACTTGCCTGCCACCTTACTGGCTTGTACCTGATTCTGATTGTCATGTCACTTGTGAGCATGGGAATAATTAAGGGCTCCACAGGCAGGCAAGGGCGTTTGGAAGGGACATAGGCATTGCCAGGTCAGTGGCTCAGCTTGTGCCCCAGGCCAACCTGGGAAGTTATCTCTTGCATTGGGTCACATACTCAGCCAGGGGAATTCCTATGAGATAATCGGAGGGGCTGTGTGTGTGCGCCTTAAGTTATGGGGCCTACTTTTCCCAAAGCCATTACCAAGCAGATTAGCAAAAGCTTCCAGTCATCAGTGGAGGTTAGCCTGGGACAGGAACACTAAACACTAAGGCGTGAGCGCAAGCAGCATTTAATTGGGAACTTGGGTAACACTTTGTCCCAGGGCATGCAGCCTCTGCTCACCTGCACACCATCTCCGACTGGCTACAGGGCAGAGAGGTCTTAGCACGCCACTTTCCTGTTGCTCCCATGCCAAGGGAGGTACTTGTTGACTGCTGACAGTACTGAGTTTGCTAATGACTAGAAGATTCTTGGCAGGGGGACTGCCAGCAAGCTGTTCTGTACAGCCATTAAGCCTGGTGGCCAAGGGTGGGTAGGCTCAGCTTCAGCTTCCTCTCCCCATCCTCATGGAATGATAGCCACAAGCTCTGGCAGGAAGAGGTTCTCTTTCAAGTTGGTCAACCCAACTGAGTTGAAACTGGGAAAGTTTCCCCAGTACTGAGGCCTCTGCCACAGCTATGCCTGTTGGAGCTCAGCTCCCACAGCTGCATGTGGGCCACTTAATGATCTGAACAGAGCCTAGCCCCAGGTGCCCCTCAGCCCTGGGTGGGGAAGGGGGAGGAGATGCCACACAGGTGAGCTCTTCTACTTTCTAAAACTTGAGCATTTTAATGTCCTGACCAGCAGCAGCACAAACACTAAAAGCAGGTTGTCTTTTTTTTAACCAGAAAAAAACGGAAAAAAAAAAAAAAAAAACAAAAAAACAAAAAAAGGAAACCCCCCAAACAGGAAAAACAAACAAAATTCCCCAAACCACATATTAAAAATGGCAGGCTTTTTATAACAATAATTAAAGTAATAAAAACATACAAAACTTTTTTTTTTAATATATACACAGTACAAGGCTGAAGCACCTTTGACTTTTCTCTCAAAACGTATGTTTGTATGAAAACGCCACACACAGCGGTAGCAATCCAATGGGTGGGCTATCTATGGACAGCTCCACTCATCTTCCCCAAGGAAAATAAGGTACCTTCGGGTGTGGGTTTGCCTCTTTTTCTAAGAGCTGTTCCAGGGAGAAGAAGCCTTGACTATCTTGCATGCTCCTGGGACCTGTGGCTTTGCCGATGGCGCAGGAAGGTGACCAATAGTGAGCCCTTTGCTTGTACACACCCAGCCTTCTCAGTGCAAGTTAGTCTTAGTCCTCCTGGGAGGAAGAGGTTAATTCCCAGGACCGTGGCAAGAGCAAGCTGGGCTCTTGAGGCACAGCAACACAAACATTTACCAGTTGGCTCTCCTTCAGCCACATGCATGGTGGGCATCAGTGTTGGAGAAAAAGAATGTGGGGGAAGGAGGAATAAACCGCCATCAGAAAGAGAAACTGAGTCTTAGCTGAGACAGGTGACTCGATTACAGTGGAGTCAAGGTGATGTCCTCTCTGGAGCCTGGAATTCTTCGCTTCTTGCATGGCACGTTCTCAATTCGTAAGCTTCAAACCTCCCAGTGAAAAATATTAAATATTCAAGGTAATAAAATAGATAATATTTCTATGCTATAGGTTCAGCCTAGTGCAAGGGAAACCGTCACCTAGGATATCCCTTAAAGTAGCCCCTAGGCCAGTGCATGGTGGGCAAGGCAAGGCACTTCCGTAAGTGGTCCAGCTCCGCCTGGAGCCTCTCCCGCTCCGATACCATCTTCTGTTTCTGACTCCGCAGCTCCTGGGGAGAAGATGTGCATCAGAACACCACTGGTACATATGCCAGTGCGAGCAACTTCTGGAAATTGCTAGAACATTCTTCTGGCAACATTGTGCTCCTGAAGAACCAGTGTGTGCTACCTTGACTCAAACTCTGAACCCCAAGTCTGACCATCCATGCACATGTTCCCCTACTGCCACAAGAGCCTGTAGCCTTGGCTGTCCTAGAACTTGCTCTGTAAACCAGGTTTTACAGACTCAGGTCCACCTGCCTTTGCCTCCCAAGGGCTGGGATTAAAGGCGTGCAGCACCACCACCCCACGAATCTTTTTATCTCTAAAACAGGATAGAATCTCACTATATGGCTCAGGCTGTCCTCACACTCACAGATCTGCCAGTCTCCAGGAATTAAGCATGTGCTACCATGCCTGGCATTAAGCTTTGATTTCTTAAGCACATATGGGGGGTGCCTGTAAAAAGCCCCATGCCTTACCGCCATGCTGTGAGAGAGCTGTTCTGCAGTCAGGCTGAGGCTGTAGTTCTGTGCCTCCAGCCGACGGCACTGTGTCTGTAACACCTGCCGCTCCAGGTTTTGCTCTGAAAAGACAAGAGATGGCAATGCATCATCTTTGTATGAGGTTATGTCTTCACCTATGCAATGTATGGGTGTGCTGGGGTGTGTAACGCAGGCTGGTTTCAGGAAAAGCACCTAGGAAATTTAGAGAAAGGTGAGCTGCAAAGTGTTCAAGTTCCCTTCAGTGTGAGCTCACAAACAAGGTCATCAGGACTGCCCAGAACTCAGCTATGTGTACAAACTAGGCAACATTCTGCCATCCCCCTTGAGCAGGGCCTCAGGGCTAGGGTAGGAGCCATAGCATAGAGTTGCCTGCAAGAAAATCAATGTCTCAGTCCCACTCAAGCATGGATCCCAAAGGATCAGACTTGCTAATCATCCCCTCCCCTGTATCCCCTACCTTCTATGTGTTCCTGGTAAGCTTCAAAGATTGCCTCAATCCCTTGCCACTGGCGCCTGGGGGCCTCCTCAGTGTCTTCTTCACTATCATCTTCATTGTCCTCCTCAGAGTCCTGGTCCACCTCCTGCATAGCGGGGCCCTTCCTCCCAGCTGGCAGCTCCTGTTGTCCATTGTGTTGGGGCAAGGGGAGCCGGCTGGAGGACTGCAGCTCAGGAATGTTGTAGTGGACCGACGTGTCGACCTTGTGGTTCTGCTCTGCAGACAGCACAGCTGAGTTCCCTGGGGAGGAGAAAGTGAGGGTCTTGAAGGGCAGGGGCTCAACTGAAAGTTACCCATGGAGGCAAACATGTAACAGTTCCAATCACACGGGCACATCTATAACTTTGTAAGTACAACCTCCTTCATGAGGGCAGAGGTGTTCCTTGAGTAGGGCAGGGACTGTCTTAGCAGGAGGTGGCTCAGCCTCACTGGTGTTTCATCTGAAAACTATTCAGTAATATGTCCCTTAGATGCCACTTCAAAGAGCCTGTCCATCCTAAGGAGCAGGAGCCATTTGCTGCTTCTGGCCAAAGCACCATCTTTCCAATAAACTCACAAAGACCCAGTTAGCACGTCTCTCCTGGGGGCTTTTCCTCACAGGTGAGTTGGCATGAGGCCATAGGTCAACACTGGTTTTCTTCCTCTATTGCTCTCTTGTTTTGTTTAGTCTGGCTGGCCATTGAGCTTCAGGAATGCTGCCTCTGCCTCTAACCAGCCACCTGAACTCTTGCCTTTGCTTACTAGGCCCCAGCAGCAGAGTCAGCTTAGTGACACACACTTGCCTTGGTGTGAAGTCCTTAAATATGGACTGGAGAGCATGAAGACTGGACTTTTCACACTGGGGGTGCGGGCAGGAAAGTTGCTGTCCCCACAATCACCGGGCTCTGGGGGGGTGGGGGTGGGCACACAATACCTTGGCAATGAACCAGAGAGAGCGAGCTCCATGTG